GAAGGGGGCCACCAGAGAGGTGGACACCCCTCTCCTGTGTCCTTCCCACCCTCAGGCACCGACCCCGTGTCCAAGTGGTGGGCATCCCTCATCAGCACCATCATTCACTGGCTGCGGGGAGATGAGGAGGGGGCCGAGCGCCTGTACCCGCTGGTGGAGACCATGCCCCGGGCGCTGCAGAGCTCCGAGTGAGTGTGGGGCACACCGGGGACAGGGTGGGGGCAGCTCATTGCACCCCTTCCATCCCCTATGGGCTGGCAACGCGCTCTGCAGAGGGGCACAGCCGTGCCCAGTGCAGGGCCCGTGCTCACTGCGTGTGTCCCCCCTCCCCTTTGCAGTAAACCCCTGCCCCGTGCTGCCCTGCACTCCTTCCGCGCCGTCCGTGCCATGCTGAGCAAGCAGGATGGGAGCCAGGCCAGCCTGAGCCACTGCGAAAAAGCCAGTGGCTGCCTGCGGGAGAGCCTGGAGCTGGGCACCCCCCCCAAGGCCACCATTGACAAGGTGAGCTGGGGCTGAGGGCAGGGGAGAAGGTGGCACCCACCCTGGGGAGCCCCCGGCCCTTGCGGGAGGTGCCCCTGGCCCTCGCAGGGGTGCATTGTAGTTGCATTGCATGTGTCAGACTGGGAGTGCAATGCCCCTGCCATGCAGCCCGGCGGCGGCTCCGCGCAGCAGCGCCTGCCCGCAGGGACCTCAGCAGCCATCCGTGCATCCATCATCCATCCCTTCCTTCCTTCATCCATCATCCATCCCTTCCTTCCTTCATCCGTCCTTCATCCCTTCTTCCATCCCTCCATCCTTCCATCCATCATCCATCCACCCCTTCCTCCGTCCATCCCTTTTTCCATCCTTTCCTTCATCCCTTCCTCCATTCCTTCATCCCTTTTTCCATCCCTTTTCCTATCCCTTTTCCCATCCCTTTTCCCATCCCTTTTTCCCTCTTTTCCCATCCCTTTTTCCACCTCTTTTCCCATCCCTTTTTCCACCTCTTTCTCCATCCCTTTTCCCACCTTTTCCCATCCCTTTTCCCATCCCTTTTCCCATCCCTTTTCCCATCCCTTTTTCCATCCCTTTTTCTATCCTCTTTTTCCATCCCTTTTCCCATCCCTTTTCCCATCCCTTTTCCCATCCCTTTTCCCATCCCTTTTCCCATCCCTTTTCCCATCCCTTTTCCCATCCCTTTTCCCATCCCTTTTCCCATCCCTTCCTCCATCCCTTCCTCCATCCCTTCCTCCATCTCTCCATCCATCCATCCATCCATCCATCCATCCATCCTTTCCTCCATCCTTTCCTCAGTCTCTTTCTCCCTCCCTCCCTCCTTTCCTCAGTCTCATTCTCCATCCATCCCTCCATCCCTCCCTCCCTCCCTCCCTCCCTCCTTTCCTCAGTCTCATTCTCCATCATCCATCCATCCATCCATCCATCCATCCATCCATCCATCCATCCATCCATCCATCCCTCCATCATCCCTTCCTCCATCCCTTCCTCCACCCTTTCCTCCATCCCTGCATCCCTCCCTCCCTGCACCCCCCTGCTCACCCCTCTCCCCTCTCCTCCCCAGGCAGTCCAGCTCCTGCTCTGCGACCTGCTCCTGGTGACCCGCACCAACCTGTGGCAGCAGCAGATGAGCGCCAGCCAGCAGCGCAGCTGCCTCTACCAGGCGTCCGCCCTCGAGCTCCGCGGCTTCCAGCAGGACCTCAGCAGCCTGCGGCGCCTGGCACAGACCCTGCGCCCCGCCATGCGCCGGGTGAGCCCCTCACCGCTGCTCCTGGGCTGTCCCTGCAGCCCCGGCGCCCGCCTGCGCTCACCGTCCCCATCCCCATCCAGGTGTTCCTGCACGAAGCCACCGCTCGCCTCATGGCCCGGGCCAGCCCCACGCGCACCCATCAGCTGCTGGACCGCAGCCTGCGGAGGAGAGGGGGGCAAGGCAGCAAAGCAGGTGGGCAGTGCGCTGACAGGGTGGGACAACTGGGGGGGGGGGGGTCAGGATGGAGGCCTCAGAGCAGCTTCCAGTGTCTGAAGGGGGCTGCAGGGATGCTGGAGAGGGGCTCTGCATCGGGGACTGGAGTGATGGGACAAGGGGTGATGGGTTCAAACTGGAACAGGGGGGATTTAGGTTGGAGATAAGGAAGCTCTTCCCTGTGAGGGTGCTGAGGCGCTGGCACAGGGTGCCCAGAGAAGCTGTGGCTGCCCCATCCCTGGCAGTGTTCAAGGCCAGGTTGGACACAGGGGCTTGGAGCAAGCTGCTCTAGTGGAAGGTGTCCCTGCTTGGAGCTGGATGAGCTTTAAGGTCCCTTCCAACCCAAACCGTTCCATGATTCCAGGTGGGACGTGGGCTGGGACCTCACCTCCATCACCGCAGTACCTGGGTGATGAGCACGGGCTCTTCCTGCCCATAGTGGTACCCAAGGGGAAGGCTCAATGCCTTCCATTGGGTCTGACCCCATTCTCCCCCTCACAGCCGGAGAGCCCGAAAGCCACCCGTCCCCGCGGGAGCACGCCGAGGCCCTGCTCCTTGCCTGCTGCTACCTCCCACCCGGCTTCCTCTCGGGACCGGGACAACGGGTGGGAATGCTGGCCGAGGCCGCCCGCACGCTGGAGAAGCTGGGGGACAAGCGCACCCTGCACGACTGCCAGCAGATGATCATCAAGCTGGGCAGCGGCACCACCGTCACATCGGGATAGATGGGGGCACAGCATCCCTGCTACCCGCTGTGGGGCCGGGATGCGGGCAGGCGCGTGCCTCAGTTTCCCCCTTCTTATAGGGTTGAGGTTTTAAGGTGAACGGGTTGGGTGAGGAGGAGCAGGGGACACCGGGGATAGGGGTGGAGGGTCCTGGTGTGGGGTACACACACATGGGGGTACCCTGGGTGCGCTTGTCCCACTCCCCCCCCCATGGCTCTGTCCTTGTCCCCAGCCCAACGTGGCTGATGGGACGTGGGGACCTCTAGTGACACTGTCGCAGTATTGCATGGCACTGGGATGCTCGGGCAGCCTGGCCCCAGTGCCACCCAGTACCCCCCCCCCCGATGCCCTGACACACGGGGTCCCCATCCTCATCCCCATGTCCTGCTATCCCTTACCCGGCCCCACTGCTGCAGGGGGGTTTGGGGGCACCTCAGTTTGCCCCCATGATGGGGGGGGGGGAGCAGGTTCAGCCCTATGGTGGCCCCCTCCTCATTTCCCTCCATCCATACCCATGGTAGCTAAAAGGGGACCCCCAGCCTGTTCCCAGCCCCAGCACTGACCAGTTCCCCCCCACCCCGGTTAGGAGCTGCCTTTAGGAGAAGGGATGTCAAGATGCAACAGGGTTCCTGGGGGGGGGGGGAGGACTGTGGGTACCCCCATCCCTTTGCTTCACCCCCTCTTGTACATAGCCCCCCATTGCCCCCCGCCTTGCCTTTTTAAATGGTATTTTCATAGTCGGAGAGTTTTGTACAGACAAATTAAAGCTGATTATTTATACTGGTGTGTGCTGGACTGGGGGGGGGGGGGGGCACTGAAGTTATGGGGCGCATAGAGCCTGGTTGGGGCATGGGACTGATGGCTGTGGGTCCAACCTTGTCCCCTGCGCTGCATGGGAGGGGATGCAAGGGTGGGAGGGATGTGGCCAGTGGGTACCAACAACCCCCAAAGCCGCCTTCCTCACCCTAAGGATGCTGCAGCATCATTTCCATCCTTACAGCAAGGGTGGGAGGGATGGGGCCAGTGGGTACCAATAGCCCCCAAACCCCCCTTCCTCACCCTAAGGCTGCTGCAGCATCACCTCCATTCTTACAGTGCAGGTGGGAGGGATGGGGCCAGTGGGTACCAACAGCCCTTCCTCACCTTAAGGATGCTGCAGCATCACCTCCATCCTTACAGCAAGGGCGGAAGGGATGAGGCCAGAGGGTACCAACAGCCCCCAAACCCCAAGGATGCTGCAGCTTCACCTCCATCCTTACAGCACGGGTGGCACATGAGGACCAGAGGCTGGTACAGAATAGGGGGGGACCCCCCCATAGGATAAAGAGAGGCCACGAGCAGGGCGCCACGTACTTCCAAAACAATCGTTGTATCTTTATTGACGCTCTGAATGCAATGACCTGGTTTTTACTCTTAAGGAAAATAAACATCTTTTAGAAACAGCTTGTTACACACAATCTTCAGTGTGAAGCAATATACTAATAAGAACACTAGTCTTAACATTTACAGTCTTCATATATATTATATATATGTATATGTATACATATATATACACTATATAATGAGGCAATATATAATACACACGGTTTACCATTTTACAGTCATATGTACAAGATGTCACTAAAAATAGCCAGATTTCAGGCAACGCTGCCAGGGACACCGGGAGCTTCCTTGGGTTTTCTGCTTTAAATTCGCTCTTTTTTGTTCTTCTTCCTCTTTTTTCTTGTCTTTTTCCCTCTTTTTTTGTGTCTCTTTCGCTCCCGTGTCCGAGGCAAAGCTGCTGAAACAACAGACATTGTGTGGCCAGCAAACCTTGAGGGTGAGGGCTTGGGGGGGATGATGGAGGGGATGTGGCAGCAAGGGGGGCACTGGCTCTGAGGGGTCGGGATGAGGGGATGGATGGATGGATGGATGGATGGATGGATGGATGGATGGGGCTAGCACTGTGCTCCCCATTGCAGGATGTTCTGCAGGTAAGGGGGGGGGAGAGGGCTGGTGGCTCTGGTTTTAGGATGGGATTTGGGGTTGATTCACCCTGGGTTGGGTATTTGCTACTGGGGTGGTGCAGAATGGGGGGGATATGGACAGGGGGTGATCCCAGTGCTGGGCAGCCCCCCCCAGCTCTGTTATGAAGGGAAGTGAAAGCCAAGGGAACTGAGTGAACCCAGAGCCAGGGTTTGCTGAGCCAAGGCTATGCAGAGGGAGGAAGCAAAAGCTTCCTCCTCCTCCTCCCATAAGGACCCTGCTGCCAGCTGGAAGCCATTTGTACCTTGCATCAGGCTAAAACCCTGGGGTCTGCACCCAAAGCCATGGGGTTTTGCACCCGGAATTGTGGGGTTCAGCATCCAGAGCCTGGGGGTCTGCACAAGCAAAGGGAGCAAAGCCCAGCACCACGAGGAGATGCTGTCGACTCCAAAGCAGAGCGAGAGGGATGGTTTTGGGGGTCCCATAGAGCAGGACCAGTATCCCCATCCCATCAGTGCCAGCACCCCATGGAGCGGGAGGGTGACGGGTGCAATGGGCCGTGGTTTGGAGGCAATGGGTGCCCCCCAGCCCAAGCCAAGAGCCCATCACCCCAACACAGGGTCTGGTACCCAGGGATGGTTTGGGGCAGACAGGAGATGGAGGAGGGAACGGATAAAGCAGAGTGGTGTTTCAAACAGCAGGCCGTTGGTTTGTCTCTATTTTTTTTTGTCCTTTTTTTTTTATGGGATTTTGTCCTTTTTTTTTTTGTCTTTTTTTTTTTTGTCTATTTTTGACTCTTTTCCTCTGCACGTATATACAGACAGACACCGTGAGGTTTGCTGAAGGCAACATCTCAGATCAGATCAGTGTGAGATATGGGGAGCCGGGACCCACAGCGGGGCCCGGCGGCCCCACAGTAAGACAACATCGCCGGGACCCCCGCCCCCCCCCCCCTTTGTACCCCCCTTTTCTCCTCCCATCCCTCCCCCTCTCCCCCCTGTGCAGCGATCGCGGGCCGGGGGATCCCGTTCCGAATCCCTGACGGCCACGCCGGGTTTTGCCGGGGCCCGGCGAGGGGGAAAACCCGGCGCTGGCTCTGCCCGCTCGGAACGGGCTGTGGGGGGGGGAACGGGGCGGCAGCGCTGCGCGTACCCGGTACAGCCCCGGTACGGCCCCGTATAGCCCGGTACTGCCCGGTACAGCCCGGTACGGTCCGGTACAGCCCCGTATGGCCCGGTGCATCCCGGTACAGCCCGGTACTGCCCGATAGAGGCCGGTACGGCCCGGTGCATCCCGGTAAATCCCGGCCCCGCTCCCCGGGCGCTGCCTCCTCTGCCGGTCCCTCGCTGGCGGCCGGGGCGGGTGCCCGCGGGGCGCTACACCGGCTGCCTCTGCGGGGAGAAGGGGGGGTGTCAGCCCGGTGGTCCCCATGGGTCGGTATGGGGGCGGTCCGGTCCCCATCAGCGGCCACCCTGCCCACCCGAGAAGAACGGGGCTCCCACCCATGGGGTCCACTCTCACCCACCTTGTCAGTGCTTAGTGAAGGAGGATACTCCCCCCCAAGCATGGGTGGGGGTCCCGGACCTGGCATCCCCATCGCCTGTCCCCTGGTGGCTTGGTAACCCCAGGACCGCGGTTCCCCATTGGTCCATGGGGTTGACACTGAGCAGGGTGTCCCCATGGGTCCGTGGTTCAAAGGTAGGTGCTCCCACCCCAGGGTGGCTGCAGAGCATTTAGGGGGGGGGGGGGGGGGGGGCACACAGGGTGCTCTGGACTTACCTTGTGTTTGGGACATTTCAGAGAGAAGCTCTCTTCAGTTAAGAAGCAACCTGCGAGGAGAGGAGAAGGTTGGGTCAGGGGGTCCCTGTGCTGCACGATGGATGTCCCCAAGGGATGGGGACACAGTGTCCTCCCCAGCCCATGACCTCCCCCCGCCACTGTGCATCAGCCACAGTGCTTGAATGAAGGGGACATTGAGTCAATGTTCCCTGAATGAAGGGGTGAGCTGAGGCCAGACAAACTCGGGACACCAGACAGCACTGTTGGCGCAGGGGGCATTGCCATCCCAGCAATCCCATCTGAACAGGCTTCCACTGCCTAAAGGGGCTATAGAAACCTGGAGAAGGGCTTTGGGCAAGGGCCTGTAGGGACAGGACAAGGGGAATGGCTTTAACCTGCCAGGGGGGAGACTGAGATGAGCTCTTAAGCAGGGAGTTGGAACTGGATCAGCTTTAAGGTCCCTTCCAACATGACCTTGGTTGGGCTTGAGCACTGCAGAGATTGCCAGGGGACCCCATGCCCCTGTCCCCGCATGGGGCTCACCTGTGTCGACGGCACATGCGTAGTGGTAGGTGTGGGGACACCCCTTCTGGCAGCAGCCCACGGTGGCTCCCGCTTGCTGGCAGCTCGAGCACTTCTTTAAACGCACCCGGGGATTCATAGCAGGGGGGGAAAGATGTGGAGAGACAGAGAAGAGCCCATCGTCAGAGCCCAGGAGCATCCCGGAGCATCCCTGCGCCTCCCGCCCCAGCAGCATCCTTCCTCCCGTGCCGGTGCACCACGGGTGATGCTGTGCCTCTCACTTAGCCATTAACCACCACACACAAGGTTTCTACACGCGGTACCACTCCTCCGGATGGCACCGAGCCCTCAGCCATCCCCTATGGGGCATGGACATGGGGATGTGCCATGGTTCACGGTGTCCCCCATCTCCTGCCCCATCCCCAGTCGGTGCTGCAGGGATGGGAGCTCCCAGCAGCCTCCAGCCAGCCATGGGAACAGGCTGAACACACAGGCCTGGGAATAAAGCCAGCCCCAAACATGGTACTGGGGGGGCTTGCTGGAGACCCCAGGCTCTGCAGGGTGCCTGTCCCCTTCCCTTGCTGCCCGTCACTGTGGCATCAGGCCACATCGTGCCCATTTTCACCTCCTATCCTGCCTCCGCCAGGCTGCATCCGAGCCACCCCATGCAACACACGGCTGGGCCGGGGGATGAGACCCACCAGGCTCAGCACCCTCCCGGTGCTGGGGATGTCCCGTCACCCTCCCACACCATAACACCACAAGCACATTTCTATGCCTAAAAGGGGGTGCTATCAGAGATGAAGCAGCACAAATCCCACGGGAAGCCAGCGGTGCCCGAACACCCACTTCCCCTCCCAAGCCAACTCATCGGGGCCAACCCTATGTACTCCATCCTGGCGGGATCAGCTCCAGCTGAAGGCGGCCGGTGCGGCACCAAACCGGGCAGGCAGCCGAGCTCTTACCAGGTCGGCAGCCGCCTTGACAGCCTCCTGCAGCCCGTAGAGCTTCCCCGCCACCAGGAAAACCCCAGCGGTCCATACGGCACAAGCCTCGTGCAGCCAATGCTCCTGCGTGTCTCCCACCGGCTCCTGCGGCGGGGACTCAGCCTTGTGACATTCGTGCCGCCGGGGCTTTTCGGCCGCCTCCTCGCCCTCTGTCCTCTCGTCACAGCAGTAGCAGCTCTGCAGCCTCCGGAACATGCCCCGCGGGCTGGAGCGCAGCGAGCTCTGCTTGCCCGCCTCGGCACCACCCTCCGGCCGCGCCGCCTTCGCGCCGGCACCGCAGCCGCCCTCCATCCCTCGGGATGCCCGCTCGGCAGCGAGAGCATCCTCATCCACGCGCGCCTTCTCCTTCAGCCGCGACTTCTTCTTGGGCAGGCAGTCCTCGGGGTAGTAGGGCCCGCAGAGGTCCCCCAGGTCCTTATAGTTGGCGGGGTTGCGGCACAAGCAGCACACCAAGCAGGCAGCGCTCAGCGCCTTCGACACCACCGGCCCCATGTGCATGGTGGAGGAGGCGGGCAGCGCTGCCCGCGGCCGCGGCGCCGGCCCGGCCGGTCCCCGTTGCAGCCGTGCCTCCTCGCCGGGGGTGTTGATGACGGTGCAGGCGGTGGTGAACTCGCCGCGCCGCTCCACGCGGACATAGGGAGCAAAGTGGGGAGCGCGGCTGTCCGCACGCAGCCGCTTGCAGGAGATGTACTTGAGCCGGATCTCGGGCTCGGCGGGATGCACCAACGGGGCTTGCTGGGGCTGCCGCCGCCGCTTGCCGCGGCTCTTGCACCGCGCCGGCACCGCCTTGGCTTTGCCGTGCCCCAGGCGCTTGCGCTGCCGCTTGGAGTAGCCGTTGTAGTTGGAGTGGTTGGCCCGGGGCTTCGGGCCCCGCGCTGGTCCGGCCGCGGTGCGTCCTTCGGGGGAGCCCTCACCCATCTCCTTCTCCTCGCTCTTTGGTTTCTTGCCCTCGCGCGGTGCCTCCTCCCCGCCGCCCGCCCGCAGCGGGCACAGCGCGGGCACCAAGGGCGCCTTGGCCATGCCCAGCGCCGCCGCTTTGCCCTTGCGGTTCCTCTTCTTGGGCAGCAGCCCCAGGCTCTTGGCCACCACGGTGGAGCCGGGCTGAGCCGCCGGCGCGCACGCCTCGCCATGGCAGTTATCAGCAGAGAGCTTCTTCCCAGCGCCCAGCTTCCCCTTGGGCGCTCGGCCGTTGGGGTTGCGGCAGAGCTGCTCTGCCCCCGGCACGGTCGGTGCCTTCTGTGCCGACACCGGCTTGGGCAACCGCGCGTCACCGGCCACCCCGGTGTGCTTCACCCGCTCCATAGGGCTCAGTGAGGTGCCGTAGGCTGTGGCCGTCGCCACCACCGGTTTGCAGGAGAACTTCTTCAGGTTGGGAGAGGTGATCTTCTGCACGATGGCCTCCAGCTTGAGGCCGCGGCCCTTGCGGGGAGGCAGCACTTTGGTCTTGGTGGCCTCCTGGAAGGCCGCCCGCGACGTGATCTTGATGCAGACATCAGGGGCCTCCTTTGGAGGAGGGGGTTTTGGGATGGCTTCGCCGGAGGACTTGGGGGGCAGCTTGGTTTTCACCTTCTTGGCCACCGGCATCTTCTTGAAGAGGCTGGGGGGGGCCTCCGGTTTCTCCTCCTTCACGCCACCGCTGTTGCTCCGCAAGACCAGGTTCCTCTTCTTGGCAGGGATGGGGGACATGAAGGTGGATTTCCTCTTCAGCGAGTGCAGGGGCCGCTCGGACAACTTGCCCCCGACGCCCGGCCCCGCTTTGGGCAGCTTCATCCGGGCACCCACCTTGCCCTCCTTATGCGGGCTGCCCGGGGCCGCCAGCTTGAACGCGGGCGGGAGGTGGTTGTTGGCGATGAGCTTCTTGGGCACCTTGCAGTTCTTGAGCCGCACATCAGCCGCCCGCTTGCCCCGCTGCCTCTTGGTGTAGAACACCTCCTGCGCCTTGGTCCGCGAGCGCAGGATCATCGACCGCTGGTCCCTCTCCCCGCCATCCACCGCATCCCCCTCTAACGGTGTCGGCCCCACTACCTCCTCCGCCACCACCAAGCCGGGCACCAGCAGCGCGGTGTCCCCGGTGCCCTGGACCACTTTGGGGGCCGGCCGGCTGCTGCGCTTCCTGGCTTTGAAGGCCACCCGCTGCTTCGCGCCGCAAGCCGGCTTCTTGCCCAGCTTCTCCTGGTGCGTGGGGGCTTTCAGCCCTTCCAACGGGGCTGGGGCACGGGGTTCGGCGAGGGCGGTGAAGGACCGGGTGCACATGCGCGCTGGCAAGCCCTCGGCTGGGAACCGGGGGGTCTGGCTGTGGGTGCTCTTGCTTGGTACCTCTGCTTGGCTGTCCGGTCCGAGGCAAGCGCTGGCTACGCCACCGGTTGCAGGCCCATCATCAAAGGGGCTCAGCACGGCGCTGCCCGCGCTGTCCCCCTCCGGCAGCCGGCAATGGACCCTCTTGTTGCGGAGGCTTTTGCCCCGTGAGACGGGCTCTGCCTTCCCCAACGCGTTTTCAGGGGTGAGCTGCTGCTTCACTGCGACCGACGGGGTGGATTCAGCATCAGCCGCCTCCGGGTGGGATGCGTCCCCCGCGCCGCTCTCCTCCTCAGGCTGGATGTGCGGCAGGGAGGACTTGAACCAGCTCTTCACCTTGGTCTCTGTGCCCACAGCGGGGCCCAGCAGGATGACGGACTGACCGGACAGACGTGCAGCGGGAGCCGAGTTCTCCTTCTCCACCGTGCTCACGGTCTCCTCGGCGGACACGGGCACCTCGCTGGAGGACAGCACCGCAGGCATCTCGGGGGGCTTGGGTGGCGAGGCATCGTATGCCACCGACTTCTGCTCCGAGCCGGCCAGCTCGCACAGCGACGAGTACTCCTCTGCCTCCAGGTCTGACTCCTTCAGCTCCGGCGAGGAGATGATGGGGATCTCACTGAAGTCCCCGGCCGAGCAGCAGTGCCGGGTGTCCTGCAGCCACCTCTCGCTGTCTGCCTTCGCCGCTTCATCGTAGGTCAGCGTCTCCTCCTCCTCCTCCTGCTGACCATAGTCCCTGTCCGGCTCGCTCTTGGCCGGCTGCTCTCCATCACACAGATCCAAGCCACAGGCATTTTTTTTCTCCTTGCAGGACCCCACCAGTTTATTGGGGAACAAGGCCTTGGGGAGCTCGGTGGCTTGCAGCTCCTTCCACCGCAGGCACGCATCGCCCAGGCTCTCCTCTGGCCAATCGAAGTTCTCTATGGTGCTCTCAGACCCCACCGAGTTGGCAGTGGTGTTGGAGTAGCAGCTATAGCCGGGGGCTCCCGCGCTCGACGTCGCCGCAGGGATGTTGGGTTTGGAGTTGAAAGCGAGTGGAGCAGCATCCTTCAATGAGTCCTTGGTTTCGGCGGCTGTGAACTCTACCTGCGGACCCTCGTACACCTCCTCACTGAATTCCTTCCCCGCGTTGGCTCCTGAAGCCTTGTCCATCTTAAGGGGCTCGGTGAGCGTGCTGGAGTCACCCTGACTGGGCCAGGCACCCTTCACCATGGAGTCCAGGCAGGGCCGGTGGTTCTCCAGCTGGAAGGGGGACTTGGTGGCCTCCTTGTTGAGCATGGGCAAGTTGGCCCAGGCTTTATCCGCCTTCTCGTTGATGGCATCCTGCAGGACGATGATCTCGGAAGCCAGCTCCTCTTGGGACAGGGCGCTGAGGAGCAGCCGGGGACAGTCCCGTTCGTTGGTCACGTACTTGGTGAAGGACTCCAGGGGCAGGCTGGCGTGGATGCTCTGGAAGGAATCGTCGGATTTGGTGGACATGTCATCCGGGGACGTCACAGAGCACGTGGACACGGACTCGGGCTTCGCCTTGGAGTTGCTGTTGACGCGGGCAGGGCTGCGGTTCTGGTTGCAGTACAAAAAGCTCCTCTCCAACTGATCCTCCGACCCGCTGAGATAGTCAGCGTCTTGGGCCTCAGCGTGGACGGACTGAGGGGTGCTCAGTGGGTCGGACAGTGGGGTCCCCACCTGCTCCGCCGAGTAGGTGCTGCTCTCAGGACTGCAGTGCTGCCCCTTGAGCTGCTCCGGGGTCCTCGCTGGCGTCTTGATGCCCTTTTTCTGTGGCACGGCCGCTTTGGAGAGCAGCAACTGCTGGACAGTGTTGGAGATGTTCTCCACTTGGGAGGTGAGCGCCGTCAGGCTCTGCAGGCTCAGGTCCGACAGCAGGTTTTCGGGCAGCTTCTCCTTCTGCATGTTCTTACAGTTGCCAGATTGAGCATCGGGGCTCGTCCCGTCGGTGGGAGAAGGGTTCAGCAACGGCATGAAGTGGCTGTGGTCGGCGATGCCGGCCGGGAAGGCGCCGGCGCTCAGCGGCTGCTGGCTGTACTGGAAGTTCTCCAGGTTGGGCATCAGCGGGGAAGGAGTGGAGCTGTAGGACGGGGACCTGCCGACGGAGCGAGCCGGCGAGTGGCTGGCGCTGGGGCTGAAGGTCTGGTAGTACTGCTCCGGCGTCCGGACCGGCGGCGCATCGCCCTGGCAATAGGTCTGCCCGGGCTGGTTGTAATGTTGGTACTTGGCCAGGTTTTGGTAGTGGAGGGTCTCCGGGGCATGGTGCCGCCCCTGCAAGGGCTGCGGTGGCTGCGGCGGCTGCGGAGGCTGTGGCGGCTGCGGCGGTGGCTGCGGTGGTTGTGGCGGCGGCTGCGGCGGCTGCTCGTAGCCGATGCGGTTGGGCTGGTAACCGTGCATGTTGGGCACACGGGGACCAGGGGCCAGGCTGGCGGCGCTGCTCAGGGGCCGCTCCAGCGGCGGCTGCCCCGAGGGAGCCGTGCAGCTCTTATAGGAGTGTGCGGGCTGGCTGCCCCCCGGCACCGAGGAGTAGGTGGAGGAAGCGGGGAAGGACTGCGAGTGCTGCCCGAAGTGCGGGCTCTGCGAGAAGGGCATGGGCGAGGAGACGTCGTTGGGCAGCTTCTGCCGCTGCAGCTTGGGGTAAGGGAGCGCGGGCGGCTGCTGCTGCTGCTGCTGCTGCTGGAAGTGAGTCCGGAAGGGCAGCGAGGGGGCTGCTGGCTCATGGTACGGCCGCCCGCCCGCCAGCGCCGCCGCCGTCTTCTTCATCAGGCTCTCCTCATACTTGGCCACGCCGCCGGGCAGCGCCTGCGGTTGGCCACCCCACGCCTGCAGGCTCTCGTCCCCCGAATAGCGGGCAGGGTAGGGGCTGTTCTCCTGCACGGCGTAATTGGAAAAGGCCGGCCTGCCTTGCAGCTGCTGCCCTGCTAATTGCTTGTTTCCCCGGTGGTATTTCTCCACGGCGCTGTTCTCGTAGCCCGAGTACGGCAGTTGCTGCTGACTGTAGTACTCCTTCGCCACCAGCCTCTGCCGCTCGCAGTTCGGCCCTGCCTGACTTTGATGCCTGTAATTCTCCAGGCGTGATGTATCTTGTGAAGTCGGCTGGTAGCTCTGCTGGTTGCCATGGAAACCACACCTTTCTCGAAAGGACTGCATGGCGCGGGCTCCTTATCTGCGAAGAGAGAGAGAGGCGAGAATTCAAATGAAGCATCGCCACCGTGCCCGGCCGAGCAGCAGCGCCGTCACTGCCGGGGCAGAGCTGCAGCCCTGCCGCGTCAGCTCGTGGCGCCCGGCATCACCTTGCCCTGCATCACTTGCACTGCCCTGCATCGCCTTGCATCCCCCTGCATCACCTTGCATCGCCCTGCATTGCCTTGCATCACCCTGCATCGCCTCACATCACCTTGCATAGCCCTGCATCACATTGCCCTGCATCACCTCACATTGCCCTGCATCGCCTTGCATTGCCCTGCATCACATCACCCTGCATCGCTTTGCATCACCCTGCATCACCTCACATTGCCCTGCATTGCCTTGCATTGCCCTGCATCACATCACATCACCCCGCATCGCCTTGCATTGCTGCGCATCACCTCACACTGCCCTGCATTGCCCTGCATCACATCACATCGCCCTGCATCGCCTTGCATTGCCCTACATTGCCTCACATTGCCCTGCCTCACCTCACATCACCCAGCAGCACATTGCCCTTCATAGCCCTGCATTGCATTGCCTTGCATTTCACCTCCCTGCATCTTGTTGCCTTGCATTGCATCACCCTGCATTCATCACCCTCCATTGCATTGCCTTGCATTTAATCACCCGGCATTGTGTCGCCTTGCATTGCACTGCCCTACATTCATCACCCCACATTCATCACCCTCCATTCACTGCCCTGCATTGTGCTGCCTTGCAATTTATCTCCCTGCATCATGTTGCCTTGCATTGCATTGCCCTGCATTAATCACCCTGCATCACAGCACCTTGCATTGCATTGCCTTGCGTACAATCACAGAATGGTTTGGGTTCACATCACCTTGCATTTCATCTCCCCCCATCACTTTGCCCTGCATCACATCTCATCCATTGCATTGCAGTACGTTGTACTGCCTTGCATCTCATCGCCTCGTATTGCCCTACATCCCATTGCCCTGCATCGCATCGCATCACATCCCCCTGCATCACATCACCTCGCATCGCATCGCCCTGCCTCACATCACCTTGCACTGCACCGCCCTAGATCACAGCAGCTGGCTTTGCATCACCTTGCATCGCTCCGCATCGCCCCACATCACATCACTTGGCACTGCATCACCTCACCTTGCATCTCCCTGCCTCATCCTCTATCACATCTCCTTGCTGCATCGCCCTGCTTCCCAGCACGGTGCCTGCGAGCAGGGGGATGGCTGGGGTACAACTGCCAGCCCTCCTGACCCTGCTGATGGGACCCTTCCCCATCTCTGCTGCCCACCTCAGGGCAAGCAACTCCCTCCCTGCCTGCCTGCTTGTCACAGTGACCCCCTGCACCACACTGGGGTCCCCCAGCCCCAGTGCTCTGTGTCCACACCTCCAAAGCCCCTCACCTCGGCCTCTATGACCCTCCCCAGCCACACCAGGATGCTACAACCCCCTCCCAACACCCCACTCATCACCATCCCTTATTCATGACTGTGCTAATGACTGGAAGCAGCAGTGAGGAGGGCCACAACCACAGGGCTCTGCTGCAGTCATTTCAACTCACCCTGCCTGCTGCTGCCTCCCGCAGCCCCCCTGGCCCCAGCCGATCCCCCTACCCCGGTGTGGTACCATCTGGAAGCTGTCTGCTCCCACCAGCAGACGTCTATTAGTAAAGCTCCCCATTTCCTACCCCAGCTTGCATTAGGTGCAGGGAAGCACCTGGGTCACTGATTTGATCTCCAGAGGCAGCTGAGTGCCTTGTGGGGAACTAATGAAGGGATGAGTGGTGGTGGGGGGAGCACGCATCCTGCCCATCTCCAGCACCAGTGGGTTGGAGGTGCTGGGATGAGCAGGAGTGTGTTTTGGAGTGGTTTGAGCTCTGGGAGCCTGGCTTAAGGCAGCCCCAAAGGGCTGCAGGGATGATGTGTGTGTGTTCCTATGCATCCCCCTGCCACTCTTGTGCCCCAACGTGCTCCTTTGCCAGCGATTCTGGCTGTGGATCAGCACCAGCTCGGCCTCACTTCCTCACACCAACACCAGCAACGCCTCAGCACCTTTTGGGGTCTATACGGGGTGTTATTCAGTTGTATTCCCATACCCGCTGGTGGCTCAGGGATGCAACAATCCCACCGTGCCCCCTGGCACCAACGGAACCAGGCTCGGTGCCATCCAGCCCAGCCCAACATCCCGTCCCCTTCATCCCCATCTTTCTGGATGCTTTCCACATGGCTCCCCGACACTGCAGCTGCATCCCACAGGCTCTGGTTAAAGCTCAGATCCCAGCAAAAGGATGGGTCAATGCCAAACCCAGGAAGGCCACTGTGAAAGCCCCGACCTGTGCCAGGGCTGAGGGAACAAAGGCAGCAAAATCAAAGCCAGGTCTCTGGGACAGCCCTGGGCAGCAGTGAGAAAACTAAAGGGCTCCTCACGCTCTAGGTGTGACAAATGAAATGGGCTTGAGAAGACCTTGGGCTGGCGCTTTAAGGGCAGCTTCCCTCCCCCCCCACTTCTCTTGTATTATTAATTAGTGTTATTAATTAATTAGTGTTGATTTCCAAAGGGCTGGGACAATGGCAGGATGGGCAGGAGCACACAGTGCAAGGGGATGGGTCGCTCGCTGGCACATAGAGGTGGGGATGCACGGAGGGAGCACGCGTGCAGGATGTGCATGCATGCATGTGTGCAGGGTACCCACACATGCAGGCTGTGGAGGAAGCTCTTGAGCAGGATGAGGCCATGGCCATGCCTGCAGGATAACTCCAGCCTCAGCCATGTCCCGGTGCATGGCAAAGCCCGGGGCTCATCCAGCACCCCTGGGTACCTCCTTATGGGGATCACACCATGAGGGGCTGGATGAGGCCCATCAGGCAGGAGATGCAGCTTGGGCTGCCCATCACATCCCCACCCGAGATGAGCCGAAATCAATGCCGAGCCACAGCCCCATCTCCCCACAGGCCACCCCATCATTTGGCTCTGCCCAGGTTCGGATGCTGCCATTCTGGACCAGGAATGGGCCAAGCCTCATCCCCAGCAGCACCGGCTCCATCGGCAGCACCAGAGGCCAGCTCCCTACCGCAGCTTTGCCAGAGAAGGGCTGCAGCAGATGTTGCTGCCTGATGTAGGCTGTTTCCGAGCAAAGGCTTTAATGGCATCAAATCAAGCTGTCGACAGCAGCAAGGCTATGGCCCTTCCCGGGAGGGGGAGCGGCCGCAGCCGCATCCCAGGGGCCCTGCACGCTCATTCCTCCTGCCACGTCCCTGCTTTCCCGGCCCTGGAGAAGTTTCCAGTCTGGCTCCCACTGCCCCAGCAATGGGAATTGATATGGGGCCATCAGGGCATGGCAAAGCCACCGCTGCAGGCAGGGTTCATGGTGTGGGACCCCGGGAAGGGATCCCCAGGGCATGCATTGGAAGAGGAGCATCACAGTGCCCAGAGCCAGCCTGACACTGTCCCCTCTAGCTACATCCACCCTGGATCACCCCATCCCCTATGGACACGGAGCCAGCCCCACAGCTCCCAGCATCACCCTTTGGGGACACACGTTGACCCGTGGGGCTGACGTGGTGCACGGGGTGACGTGGTGCCAGGGGCTGATAGAGCGCATGGGGACGATGCCAGGAGCTGGGGCACCGCTGCCAGCACAGCCGCTGCAGCCTGCCTGCTGCTCGGGAGGATTTGTGCTGCCTGGCTGCCTTTGGTGTTGTTTTCCTCCCCTCAATCCCTCCCTCCTTCCCTTTTCTTCCCCCCCATCCCTGTGCCTGGCAGGGATAATGGCAGAGCCGGATCCAGAGCCCACTGAAGGCAGCCCAGGACTTCCCATGGCCGGGGACCCTCGGTAAGCACCCAGGACCCCCAGTGCCGTGGCACTGGGGGCAGCGGGCACCCCCCTCCTTTTTCCTGCATCCCAGCCTTGCTTCCCAGCTCATCCCATGGGGCCTGCTCCAGCCCTGCTGCTCCGCCTGCTCCCTCCTCGCCTTTGCTGCTGCGCCATCAACAAGGACTCAAGGCCTATAAATAGCAGCATGCACTCACAGGGGGATGCTTCAGCATCGGAGCAGCGCTGGCACCAGACCCCAAACCCCATCACCAAACCCATTCCCAGCGCTGGGGTGCATCCCCACACCGTGAGGCATCAAAAGTGGGGGCAGAAGGGATAGGATCCGGCCTCCAGGCCCCCTTTGGTGGCTCTCGAGGGGGGAATAAGCGCCTCAGCCCCGGATTTGTTTAATTGTGAGCTGGTGGAGGTTAAAGAAACCCTTTCTGGCTGCCTGCCACACCGCAAACTGCTCGGGAGAACTCGGTTATTGAGGGAGGAGAGGGAAGGGGAGGTTGAGGAGGGGGGAATGGGGAGGGGAAGGATGTGTGGGAAAAGGCATCGTGCTCCAGGAGCTGGGAATGGGATGGACTTCCCCCAGGAGGTTCAAAGGGACTGGGTCAGAGCCTCCAGGCTGTTTGGAGGTGGCTCTGTCTGTCTCTGCACCCCATGGATGCTCCTGTGGTTCCTGGCACTGCCTGTGGCTGTAGCCACTGTCAATGCACTGGTCCTTTGAAGGCACCCCCATAATGCAACTTGTCCCCAGTGCACCCCATTAACACACCCTCTTCACCATGAACCCCTTTAGTACACCCTCTCCCCAATGCACTCCCTTTAATGCACCCTCTCCTCAGTGCTCCCCATTAGCACACTCTCACCCCAATGATCCCCTATAATACACCCTCTCCCCACTGCATCCTTTTAATGCTCCCCTCCTTTAATGAACCCCTTTAACACACCCTCTCCCCAATGCTCCCCATCAGCACCACCATCTCCCGCATCACCAACGCTCCATCCCAGTGCGGTGATTGGGGGGATGCTGGTACCCAGCAGGCAGCCCCCCACGGCCGCATCCCGCCCCATTTCGGCGCTCAGCCACCGGAGCAGCTGCTCCCTGCACACTTCACTTGCCCGCAGATGATGATAAATGGAGCTGGGGCTGCGCCGCCCATTGCATGGGC